AAATTATTCCCCTCTAGTACCCGAGGTTTAATGGAATAGATCCTCTCAGGATGGAACGATTTTATCCACAAGTATATTGAAACAAAAACAATGGTGTCAGCTACTCATTCAATAGGAGCAAAGTACTTGAATATTTAATTATGCAGAAAAAGAAGAAGAGGAAGTTTAGAATTTTCGTTGTTTTAAAATGAGAGGAAATCCCTCTATTTATAGACAATAATGGATAATGTGAACGAATACTTATTGTGCCTTATCGGAAATGTCACAACTCTTTGAAAAGTTACAACTCTTCGGAAAGGTCAGAACCTTTCATAAAAGTCACAATTTTCATAAAAGTCGTAACTCGTCATAAAAGTCGCAACTCTTCATAAAAGTCACAACTTTTAGTAAAAATCATATCTTTTCATGAAAGGGGATGCCTATTTTTGGGTAACTCTTCATAAAAGTCGCAACTCTTCATAAATGTCATAATTTTTCATAAAAGTCACATCTTTTCATGAAAGGAAAGGCTATTTTTGGAAATAAATAAATTTAAAAGGAAATTCTAGCTTGTGGTGATACCACGTAGGCGGGCCTAGGATTCTATTTTATATAAAGGGCAAATTATATAAATCACATACTTTTAAAGCAAAATTACAATGTATCCCTTAAAAGTTTATAATTACAGAAATCCCTCAAACGGATATAATATGATATGATTTTGACTTAACAAATATTGTAAGTGTCTTTTTCTATCATATGTAACTTTAACTTAGGGATCCGTTGTTTAACAATTGGTAAACATTCTTACATTATTTGCATGCTAAAAGTTTGTTTCACGAAATTTGCATAATTTTAAACGCAAAGTTAATTTTTTATGATTTTAAAATGTATCTTAATTTTAGATAATTCTTTCTTTTCCTAATACTTACTCATTTGAACTCGAAAAAAATTAGTTGAAACAATAATTTTCCTAAAAAGAATTCTTGGCATAAAAAAAAGAAGAGAAACTTACATAAATATACTATATTAAGAAAATATTTACCATTTATAGCAATAATATTTTTTTTCACTTGATCACTTTTAATACAGTTTAAATACATATTACAGAGAACAATTTATAAAGCACATGTGAATAATGCATTTATCACACATTTTAATAGACTTATAATACAATGTGTCAATTTCTTACCAAACAAGCATAATATATTTTAAAATAGTTATATATATATATTGCATATATAATTCACTTTTAATACATATTGCAGATTTATCATAGTATTGTTATATATTGTTATAAATAAAAAGTATCGCTAAAATCAATAAGTATTTATTAAAAGGTACCTATTCACGTTATTTTTCAAAAAAATATTTCTATTAAACCCACCAAAAAAATGATTCCATTAAATACACCAAAAACTAGAATAAAAGGATATTCTTGACACCAAAAGCAAATAAAGGGTAAAATTGAGTTATTTATGATAGTTCAAGGGCAATTTTGCCTTTGTTGCCTCAATGAATTGTCATGTCAACAATAAATGACTTATGTAGACATCCATTAATTTGGAGGGCATTTGTTGTCCAAAAAATAGACGGGAGGGATATTTTTTATACCAAAAACAGAGGGTAAATGTGAGCAACTTTGAATAATTCGATGGCATTTTTGACCCTTTTCCATAGAAAGAAAAAGAAAAGAATTCATCATAATTTTAAACTTACACAAGGTAGTTCAAAGATATTCTCAATAAACACTTGAATAAATAACGAATTTTTCATATTATGGTCTTGTAAAGAAACCTAGCCGCCACCGCCGCCGTACGTCTACTCATCATCTTCAGATTTCCGGTGGCTATGACCAGCAATTCACCGGGCCAGCCCCTCTCAGGGGTGGGCCAAGCTGTTGTGGGTACGGAACAAGACACGAGAAGGAAGTATTCTGATGTTTTACGTCCTGCGTCTGGAATAGCTAAACCTATCCCAATGAAACCTATTGGTTATCTACCCGGAGAACCAATAATCATCTGGGAGGAGGAGGAGGTGGAGCATATGATCATTAAGGAGAATTTGGAATTTGCTGTGATAGGCAAGTTTTCTTAAGGCTGGCCGGAGATCCAGAATTTAAGAAAATTGATTCCTAAACACTGTGAATTACGGGGAGAATGCAAAGTTGGATTATTAAGCAACATACATGTGCTAATTAGGGCTTCATGTTTAGAAGACTATGTGAGTCTATTATCCAAATCTTCTTTCTATCTACTACATAGGGGATTTTCATATCCAATGAGCACCTTGAAATGGGATCCAATGTTTGATCCTGAAATGGATATCCTTTCCTACGTTGCCATCAAATTTTTTTGTTAAGGAAGCTGTTTTCTCATTAGCGGCTGCTGTTGGAAAGCCTTTGCAAGTGGATTTAGCAACAAAGAATCAAACCACGCCTAGTTGCGCAAGGGTAAAAGTGGAAGTGGATCTGCTCAACGAATTTCCAAAGATGATTAATGTGGGAGTAAGAAAACAATCTGGGGAGATTATTGAGAAATGGATATGCATCAACTATGATTATGTACCGAAATATTTTACTAATTGTAGAATTCAGGGACATAATGACCAAGAATGCTACGTGATACATCCAGAATTACATCCGAAGACCAGTGGAGCAGGAGACGTTACTACCGAGCAGAGCAAGAAAGAGCTCAAGGGAATAGGGGCTCATCAAAGGGAGAGGAGGGAGACAAACCAACACAGGGGGAAAGAGGATATTCAAAATTAGAAACACAAAAAAGGGGGATGGGAAAGTAGACCTGGACAAAGTAAAATAGTCCAGATATGGAATCCCAAGCAGAAACAATGGGAGGAAGGGGAAGGGTTAACAGGGAACAAATTTGATGCCCTGCGAGAGTTAGAAGAAGATGGGGAAGATGAGAATACACATGAGAAGGGAAATACAGAGGCACATCATGAGGTAGTAGTTGAATCAACGAGAAAATGGGTGGAAGAAATCTTCAATGAAAAAGAGAAAGGGGGAGCTACAGGCAATAAAAGAGAAAGTGATCAGTCGGGGAGCAACAAAGAAAACAACAAAAAAGATGTTGTACCAGTACATATTGATCTAGGGTCTCATTCATTGGAGAAGACGAACAACAATGAAAGAGATAGAGAGGATCATGGCAGCACAGTGGGGAACATATGGAGGGAAGAAGATGAAATAATTGAACACGAAGGTAGTTCTAACGTCTTAGAAGAAGGAGTCAAAGACTTGCAGGAACTAACAAATGAAGAGAAGCAACAAATGAGAGATACGGAGGAGGATGTGGAATTGGACGGGAATATAAACAAAGTAGCTAGAGATGGAGATCTTTCACCAAGACAAATAAATAATTTGAAGAGTGGAGTGAAAAAGCCCTCTATCCCTCTTCAAGTTTAAACAAGGAGTAATAAGGAGTCTTCTAGGGGAATTTCTCTATGATTGGGAAAGTCATTTTTTGGAATATCAGGTCGGTTAGGTCCCAAAAGGCCTTCGATAGACTGATTGATCTAAATAGAAAACATCATTATAAATACATAGCTCTTTTGGAACCTTTTCAAGGCCCAAAAGAGTTAGAACAATATAAAAGTATATTGGGATTTCAAAATGCTTATTGCAACTGCTCAGCAAAGATATGGATTTTTTGGGACGAAGGATGGATGGGGATTGGTTAGGTCCCAAAAGGACTTCGATAGACTGATTGATCTAAATAGAAGACATCACTATAAATACATAGCTCTTTTGGAACCTTTTCAAGGCCCACAAGAGTTAGAACAATATAAAAGTAAATTGGGATTTCAAAATGCTTATTGCAACAAATCATCAAAGATATGGATTTTTTGGGACGAAGGATGGATGGGGATGGTAATGAAGGATAACATTCAACAGTTATCCATGCAGTTTGTAGCAGGACGTATCAAATTCATGGTGACAGCAGTGTATGCAAGGTGTGATGCTTTAGAAAGACTGGAATTGTGGGAGGAGCTGGAGGAGATAGCAGGGAATAATCAAGAGCCATGGCTTGTGGGAGGGGATTTTAATGTTATTTTGAATGAAGAGGAGAAGCAAGGAGGACGCGAGTTCACTCAATATGAAGCCATGGATTTCAGCCAGTGCATCAATAATTGTGCTTTATCAGAGATTGGATATTATGGGAGTAAATTCAAATGGTGGAATGGACGAATAGAAGAACATTGCATTTTCAAAAGATTAGATAGAGTATTATGTAATCAGGCATTTGAAGAACTTCTTCCCAACTGCAAAATTCACCATATGATAAGGCAAGGATCAGATCATGCACCCCTACACTTGATATGTAATTTGGAGGAGGAAAACATAATTCGACCGTTAAAATTTCTTAATTTTTGGACAAAACATTCAAATTTTAGGAATATAGTAGAGGAGAACTGGAAGGTGGACTTTCAAGGATCGCCTTTTCTTGAATTTCAGGCCAAGATTAAAAAGGTCAAGCAGGCATTGACACGATGGAGTAAGGAGACATTTGGGGATATATTCCAACAGGTACGGATGCTGGAAGATGAGATTGGAGTGAAGGAGATACAACTGGAAATTAATCCTTCCCCCAAAAATAGGGAAGAGTTAAGCAGAAAGGAGGCAGAGTTGAAAAAAATTCGATATATGGAGGAGGAATTTTGGAGATAGAAATCAGGAATGAAATGGTTCAAAGATGGGGACAGAAATACAAGGTTTTTTCACAATTATGTGAAAGGAAAGAGATGAAAGTTATCCATCTCAGAGATTATTACAGCGCAAGGGGACTGTGTAAATGGAGCGAGATTATTGGAGCGGAGGCAGTGTTGTTCTTTGAAGATCAATTCAAGGAAACAAATATGAATGTTAATGATGGAATGCTAGATTTGATCCCTACAATTATTACAGAAGAACAGAATGAGAAAATAGGGGCACTGCCAAGTATGAAAGAAGTGAAAGAGGTGGTATTTGCATTAAACGGGGATAGCACAAGTGGTCCGGATGGCTTCTCTGGTGAATTCTTTCAAAGTTGTTGGGTAGTGGTTCAAGAAGACATACTGATCATGGTGAGGGTGTTCTTCTGGGCAAGAATTGCCTAGATTTATTACTCATACTAATATTGTTTTGTTGCCAAAAAAGGAGAACGCGAGATGGTTTACTGATTTGAGGCCGATAAGTCTTAGTACTTTTGTTAACAAAATTATTTCGAGAGTGATTCATCAAAGAATGACAAAGGTATTACCTAGCATCATATCTAGGAATCAGTCAGGATTTGTGAAAGAGAGGAGTATAACAGAGAATGTATTGTTAGCACAGGAAATAATACGGGATATCAATAGAAGGAAAAAGCAGCAGAATGTAGTAGTGAAGTTAGACATGGCCAAAGCTTATGATAGAGTTTCTTGGGGTTTTTTAACCAAAGTATTAAGAAGATTCGGCTTCTCGGAGCTAATCATTGACATGGTGTGGAGATTGGTATCTAATAATTGGTACTCAATACTGGTGAATGGGCAACCATATGATTTCTTTAAATCAACGAGGGGGCTGAAGCAAGGGCATCCCTTATCCCCGACTTTGTTCATAATTGTTGAGGAGGTTTTAGCGAGGGGATTGAACAAACTTAATGAGGATAAGGATTTTAAAGGGTTTGGCATGCCTAAATGATGGAGTCCTTCTATTAATCATTTGTCTTATGCGACTGATACCATTTTGTTTTGTTCAGGAGAGAAGGTTTCCATTAGAAAAATGATGGGAATATTGCGGGAATACGAGAAGATCTCAGGTCAACTGATTAATCTTAGTAAGAGTTTTATCTATCTACATGATAATACACCGCTGATTGTGGCAATACGCTTAAGGAGAATTACTGGAATCAGGCAAGGAAATTTTCCTTTCACATATCTAGGATGCCCAGTGTTCTATGGAAGGAAAAATAATGTATACTATGAAGAACTGATGCGAAAAATACGAAGGAGAATTATGTCCTGGCAGAATAAATAGTTGTCATATGGGGGAAAGGTCACGTTAATCACTAGTGTACTACAGCCTATGCCAATGTACCTTCTTTCAGCAATAAATCCTACGAAGAAAGTGATGAGTCAGTTAAGGCAGATTTTTTGCTGGTTTTTTCTGGAGTAAATCAGGAGGTGATAAAGGAAAACAATGGATAGCATGGGATGAGTTATGTTACCCCAAAGTAGAAGGAGGAATTGGGATGAGATCTCTTAATGATGTATCAAAGGCATTATATAGTAAGTTATGGTGGAATTTCAGAACCTCTACTTCACTATGGAGTACATATATGTGGAATAAATACTGTAAGAAACAACATTCGTTGTTGGCTGAAAGTAAAGGGGCGTCTCATGTATGGAAAAAAAATGGAGTTAAGGGAGGAAGTAGAACACAATATTTGGTGGCAAATTGGATCACGGGAAGTGAGTTTTCGGTTTGATAACTGGACGAAGCAAGGAGCTCTATACTTCACAGAAAATCAAAGGGGAAGAGAGGAGGAAATAGAGGTTAAAAGATTCATCACAAATGAGGGATGGGATGGTCAGATGTTGGGTCAAGTTCTGTCAGAAGAAATGGTGGATCATATCACGGAAAATATAAGCCCATCGTTATTGGAGAGGGAAGATAAACCGTGGTGGATGGGTAATACATGTGGGAGATTCACTGTTAAGTCGGCTTTTGAAATGTTGAGGCATAGAAAGGGGAAACAAGAGTGGAGGGCTAATATGTGGGCTAAGCAGATCCCTTTTAAGATAAGTTTTTTATTATGGAGGATATGGATAGGCAGAATTGCAACAGAGGACAATCTGAAAAAAATGAAGATCAGTATTGCATCAAGGTGCTACTGTTGCGATTCTTTTGAAGAGGAGACCACACATCATCTATTTCTAACAGCTCCCATAGCCCAAAAGCTATGGAAGTAGTTTGCTTCATGTGCAGGTATTCCACAACAAGGAGGGTTGAAACAAATGATAACAGTATGGTGGGAGGTTACTACTCCTATCAAACTGAAAGTCATTTATCAGGCAGTTCCTATAATTATATTATGGGAGCTATGGAAAAGAAGAAATGCAAGGAGGCATGGAAGAGATATAAGTCTTTACAAGTTGAAGCATAAATGTGTTACGTCTATTATTCAGCTGATAAAAATGAAATACCCATGGATAAGAGTACCTAACGAATGGGAGGGAATAGTAAAGGTAATGAGGGAGTACAAACCTAGGTTGCACTATTATGCAGTGAGCTGGAAGAGACCTCATCGAGGAAGAATAAAATGCAACACCGACGGAGTGAGTAGAGGAAATCCTGGAGACAGCGCGTATAGTTTTTGTTTGAGAGATGATCAAGGGGATATCATATATGCGGAGGCGGGAAGACTAGGCCATAAAACTAACATGGAAGCGGAAACAATTGCTATTCTTAAAGCACTCAGATATTGCAAAGGTCATAATTACAACAATTTTGTTTTAGAGACTGCTTCTTTAAGTATTACAAACATAGTGCGCAGAGAATGGAAGATCCCTTGGCAGCAGGTAGAGGAAATACAGGTAATAATTAGTTCAACAAACACATAGATTCAACATGTCTTTAGAGAGGCTAACAAATTAACAGATAAATTAGCAAATGAAGCATGTGAACAGGAAAATGCAATACAGATTCAAGCATTTCAACAGCTATCATTAGAAGGTAAGGGGATTGTGAATATGGATAAAGCCGATATTCCATCTCTCAGAATTAAAACAAGGAAAATAATGGTACTGTTAACACATCACGATGGAAATCAGGAGGATTAACAGAGCTTCAAACAGTTATGCTATGTACATAGAGTTTTGCCATCATAAGACATACATGACTGTGAATAAAACCAAGCTACCTAGCCCTGGCTATGTCAGCTTACACAAAATGCGACTAACAAAAAACGTTGCCTCTCAAGTCAGGTATGGGAAGGTTGAGCTGACTGTAAGCATCTGTCCGCTTCATTTGGAAAGAAAAATATCATATTGAAGAAGGGAGAGGAAGAGCAGAATTGAGGTAAGGGAGTGCTTACATAGATTCCAGACAATAGATCTCAAGACTTGGTATCTGAGAAACCGATGTGAAGTCCATTGTATCCACCGGAGTACACCACTGCAAAGGAAGATTACATCAGGAAGCTAGGTTTGCAAAATGGAAAGGTCAGAGGACAAACACTTACTTCTGGGATCTGAGAATGAAGAAGGAGAAGGACGACAAGAGGCACACATAAACTTTCCTCAACATAAGAAGAATAAAATTCTTGTTCCTCAAAGCTTCAGGAGAATATATGTGTGTAAGAGAGGCGGAGGTGATGCAGAAACAACAAATAGGAAACCCTACACATTAGGTGTCTTTATTGTATTTCCATTTCCATTTGGATTGGAACCAATTTCCATTTTTAGATTATTGCTTTGGGCTGTTCTTCATGGTCCTGTGTTTGTAAATATTTTCAGATTATTGAAATAAAGGAGCAACCAGCTCCACATATTTAATTAGAAAAAAAAAAAAAACGAATTTTCCTTTTACGAGATCCTAAAAGACAAAAATCCTCCATGACATCTCAAGAAAAAGAAATGATCTCTATTCAAAATCATATTGTACAGTTTCTGTTCTTGCTTTCACCAATTTAAGATCTGGCCTCTACAAAAACCTTATTACAAGCATTTGACCTATCAAAATTTCTTAGCAGCAAGAATGATGCCTACAAAATTTTAAAGACGCAATTATTTTCACTATGATACAATTAAATAACAAACTACATGACAATAGGAAACAGAAAGGGAAAAAAAGAATTAGAGTTTTACTGAACTCAGTAATCTCTTCTCCTACTAGTGACAAGGTCGTTACTGATATCATCCTCTTCATTTTCACATTGTTGTAGAAATTCTCTGTAAGACTCATCATAAGCAGTAGCAATTTGCAGATAATTAACCGCATCCTTCTTGCGGCCAACATTGATCAATGTACTGGAAAATAATCATGTACCACTTTAATCAGTTGTAAAATTGGAATAAACAAGGTCTTCTAGAACTTGCTTTGAGAATATAAACCATGTATCAAGAATTAAAACAGACATAAACCTTGACAGTAGTACTAATCCGTCATAGTAATGGGCCTTGCTCTTTGGGTCATCTGGCTCTTTCAACGTGGCTATGCGTTCCAGGTGTGCAAGTCCCTCTCCCATCTTACCCTGTAAAGGAAACGGAATGGTGCAATATCACTATGAGGAACCTACTTCCAGTATATAACTCAGACACGAACTATCCTAGATTTTAGGCTTGGCTCAAGAAAGGAGATGCCTTGAGATATCTGCCACTGACCAAGCCCAAAAATATGGCAAGTCAAGCTTATAACACCACAAGGAAAATAGAATTTGGGTCCAACTAAGCTCTGCTGAGAGAGCAACTTAGACAATCATCATATTTAGAGGGCATAAACATGTCTAGAATCCTTAAATAGTATTGTCCAGCAATTATCTGGAGGTGTCAGCATCCTTTCAGCTTCATCCACCATCCACACAAACTCCAGCCTCTAAGAAATCAGCCGACAACCAACCCACCTTCATATAATTTGCTTGATTCAATCTCAATTTGAGTCCAACAAGTGGGATGAGGAAAGAAAGGGAGTGAGGTTTAGCTAAAAAAGATTTTGAGAACCGGTATTCTTCAGAATTCATAATGCTGGAGACCTCCAAAAACTTATGAACAAATTGTGGTCTAGTACAAACTAATTACAGAGACCCTAAAAAGACTCAACTGATCAGCTTCCTCTACATTTGCTTCCTTACACTAAAAATAAAAATTTATAATACAATTCTACTTATTCATATGTCACGACCTGATTTCTCGAGTCATGATGACACCTACTATAACCCACCAGTAGGTAAGCCAACCCGTAACCCGGAACAACAAGTAATGGATCTGAGGGCAGAAACTAAACAAGAGTAGGCAAAATTTAAGATAATAGTATAAACAGGTGGAAGCAAACCAAAACATATATACAAATAAAGATCCCTCCCAAAATCTGGAAGTCGCTAGTACAGAGCTACTAACAAAATGAGTACAAGTCCCAAATGTGGACCACAGAGACTCGACTGTCTCGAAAGGCAAAAAGAAAAGTCTATATATATATAGATGTAGACTGAAATAGTACAAAATGTCGTGTGCTCACCCCCGTCTCCGAATCAGACTACTCCAAACTGGATCAACGCTGGCCACTGGTGCTCGGACCTGCATCACGAAACAGATGCAGAGCATAGCATGAGTACCAAAACAGCAGGTACCCAGTAGGCATCATAGGTCGACTGAACTTGAAAAGTAAAGGCAATATGAAAAGAAGGAATAACACAAACAGAGGTCAAGAACAGAAATCTAAGTAACAATGGAATGCACACGAGTGTAGAAAGAACTAACTAAAGTAATCTATAAGCTAACTACACCTAAATGGACCCCCATAAGCCCATAAAGTACACTCGTGTGCAAGTTTAATTAAAACCCGAACGGACCCCCATAAGCCCGACGAGTAAATAGAATAATTATAACTAAAGAGAATTTCATATGAGAACCCAAGAACGGAGAACATTGAACCAGAACCTCAACCCAAATTAGTAGAATCTGACAGTACGGAGGCCGGACCTCGAACCGAATGCTAACCATAAATACCTTAGTAACCAATCACAAGTATCAAGTAACTGAGACCGGACCTCTAACCGGATTCTCACCAGAAGTACCCAAGTAACCAATCACAAGTATCAAGTGATAGAGGTTGGACCTTAAACTGGATGCTCTATATAAGTATTTGGGCGATAGAGGCCGGACCTTAAACCGGATGCTCTATATAGGTGCCAATGTAGCTGTTGAAAGAGTCCTAATCGATCCATGCTCATAAATGTCCGTGGAAAGCCGTCCACACTTAGCCAATCAATGTAAGTCCTTGGAACCGAATCGAAAATCAAATTCAAATCGCGAAGCAGAACTAGTGTCGCCGACGTAACTCGTGAAGCCGTAACATCGGGGAAATAAGGATAACTATCGTCGGAGCAAGCGTATCGCCTAGCTAAGGCCCAAACTATCAGACTCAAGTCTGCTACACCAGTCTATAGGGATCTAAACCGGTCGAGCGACGTCGAGGTAAAACTAAGGCCTATCGATTCCGAATCATGCATTTCTAAGGCAAGCCCTAGTTAAACTTAAACTAAGGCTAAACATGCTTCAAATAAACAATAATCAAGCATACAAGTACTCCACATAGCAAAGAGGGTCAATTAATAACACAAAGCATGCTCACAGTTACCCAATAATTCTCAAAATAGGTCGAAAACATGATTTCTAAACACATATGCGTGATTCAATAACTACCCAACCCAAATCCCAACTAATCAACATGCATTCACATTCTCGAGCTCAATCTAAGAGAGGGAAGTCGTAGCCTACCTGTAGGCCGATCACGCGCGCTCCAAAATCACTCCACCGAAGCTCTTCCTTTCCGAACAGCCTCGAAACACTGCCACACTATCAAAAATAGAGTCACAACGTTATTACGGTCAATTAGACACTAAAATCGCATGAAATGGAGACAGACCAATTTCGGGGTCAAAATGGGGAAGTGGGACCCACGCTGGAAATTCCAGAATTAACCCCAAAAGTAGGTCCTAACTAGTTCCCCCAGCTCATGTCCCAAAATGGGACACAATTCGGGGCTCGGGAACAACACAATATCAACATGCAACCAAAACCCAAATTTTTTCAAGAACTAGAAATGGGATAGTAGCTGAATCAGTAAATTTACCAGAAACGGGAGGTCTACAGTGAATTCCGACAACACCACGATGTTTTCCTCGAAAAACCACTCAAGAATCACTGAAATCAGACATAAAATGGCTGAGAAAACAAGTCTCAAAAATTCCAAAATCAAGCTCACAAAAAGGGGTCGTGGCAGCAGGTATTTTACTAAAATTACCTCAAACAGGGACCCCAAATCAGTTTCCGAGCTCACCAACGCGTTCCTTGCGAAAAACCATAACCATTTTGGCCCTAATCACTTATTTCCTTTTGGTGCACTGATGAGGTTTTGGCAGGTATAGAATAATATTTGTAAAAACTTTTTGTTGGTATTCTCTTCATATATGGGCGTTAGACAACTGGCATTTTTTTCCAGCTTATTATTTTTACTATTTTTTACTTATTTCAGTTTAGTGCTTCCTATTTTCTAGCTAGACTTAGTCAACTTTAGTTGCTCAACTTTCTGAAGTTAGTGGCCCCTTTAATGGCTGTTAGTGGCCCTTTTTATGGTTGTTAGTGGCACATGTTCTTATTTAGTTTTAACATCCACTTTGTAAGTGGCTACTAGATAGGAAATGGTTAGGTTTTTCATTGTATAAATTCAGATCTTATGCAAATTAATACATAGCTAGAATTTCATAAGTTCACTCTTTATTCTTCAAATCAGTTTCTTGAGTATTTTTGTTCTAACAGTGGCATCAAAGCCTCTAGTTGATCTTACAAGACCAAAATTTTTTAACCTACAACAAAAATGGCATCCGACAACCTACCTTTAAATCCACCATTCACTTTCACCGGTGAAAATTACCAAATCTGGTCTGTGAAGATGCAAGCTTTTCTGGAAGCCTATGAACTATGGGAAACTGTGACGGAAGATAAACCACTTGCTGATCTACCAGCAAATCCTACCTTGGCTCAATTCAAATCCAACAACGAAGAGAAGGAAAAGAAATCTAAAGCCAAGTCGCTTCTGCAGAATGTTGTGGCAGATTCTGTATTTTACAGAATCATGGCTTGCAAAACAGCAAAAGAGGCTTGGGATAGGTTGGAGGAAGAATATCAAGGCAGCGATAGAACACATCAAATGCAAGTGTTGAACCTGAAAAGAGAGTTCGAGTGCTTGAATATGCAGGACGATGAAACAATCAGTAAGTATGTTGATCGAATCTCCTTAATTGTTAATACCATTAGACTTCTTGGTGAAGAATTTACAGACAAACGAATTGTGGAGAAAGTTCTTGTGACTTTTCTTGAGAGGTTTGAATCTAAGATTTCCTCTCTTGAAGAATCCAAGGACCTGGGCAAAACTTTCATTAGGTGAACTAATGAGTGCTCTTCAAGCACAAGAGCAAGGAGGACTATGAGATGGGACAAGTTCACTGAAGGAGCTTTCTCTGTACAAAAACAAATATTTGGTAAAGGAAAGCAACAGGTCAACCAAAAGAATAAGGGCAAGCATGATGGAGGAAATAATAGTGGAGATGTGAAGTAGAAGTTCCCTCCGTGCAAACATTGTAAAAGAACTACACATCTGGAGAAGTATTGTTGGTGGAGGGTCGATGTTATATGCGGCAACTGTAAGCAGACGGGGAACATATCCAAGGTCTGCAAATCAAGAGCAAAGGCCTCTGGTGCTTTGTAAGCACAAGTAGCAGAAGCTGCAGATGCACATGAGAAACAACTTTTTGCAGTTTCATACTTTTCAATCAATGAATCCTCTGATTCATGGCTTCTTGATAGTGGTTGCACACATCACTTGTGCAATGATGCTGAAATGTTCAAATTCCTCTATGATACTTACAATTCTAAAGTAAAAGTGGGAAACACTGAGGCAGTAGAAGTTAAAGGCAGAGGTACACTGTCTATCTCAACAATATCAGGTATCAAAACTATTCCTGATGTTTTGTACACACCTGATATGAGTCAAAATTTGTGAGTGTTGGACAAATGCTTGAAAATAATTATTCTCTGCATTTTAAAAACCGTGAATGTGTTGTTTCTGACCCTTCTGGAGTAGAATTATTTTATGTCAAGATAAGCAACATAATGTTTTCAGTTGATTGGGAGAAAATAACTGAGCAGGCTTACACTATTACTTCACAAACATGTACAAATCTATGGCACAAAAGGTTTGGTCACTTCAATCTGAGAAGCATCGCAGAGATGAAAAAGAAGGAGCTACTGGAAAATATGCCTGAATTTTTTTATAATGCTCAAGTTTGTGAAACTTGCCAACAGGGAAAGCAAACAAAATTGCCATTTCAAGCAAATCAAGTATGGAGAGCTAACCAGAAACTTCAGCTCATTCATACGGATGTTTGCGGCCCAATGAAAACAAATTTATTGAGTGGTAACAAATACTTTCTCCTCTTTATTGATGACTACACCAGAATGTGTTGGGTTTATTTCATTAGACTGAAGAGTGAAGTCTTTGATGTTTTTAAACAATTTAAAGCTTTAGTAGAAAATCAATGTAATCTTAGTATTAAGGCTTTAAGGTCTGACAATGGAGGAGAATATACTTCTT